CATTCTCACGTTCATTTCACTTTTAGTACATCCGAACGTGAACAATGGCGTACGCACGAATTTTGTGCGTACGCAACGTTAGTACATGAGGCCCCTGGTCTCATAGACGTTTCTGTGTGTGGGATTCAGTGGCATCTAGTGGTGAAGTTGCAGATGGCAACCGTATGAATACAACTCAACCTTCCAAGTGTGTAAGGATTCAAGCATTTAGGGATTCAAGGTTATTTTATTGTCATCTACAATGCAAGATTGTAGAATGCAATTCAGAATTAGTTACCTTTATGCTACTTGTTTTAAATAAAAAAAGATTAATCAGTCATATATTCATTTGTATGTTGAATTTTTGAGGAAAAATTTAACCATATCAGACCAAGTCCGGTGGTGCGGCAGTGGAAGCTTCTGTACCTCTTCCCAGGTGGCAGCAGGGTGAACAGGCTGGGACTGGGGTGGGTGCTGTCTTTTAGGATCCTTTGGGCTCTGCACAGGCACCTCACCTCACCAATATCACTGATGCTGGGCAGCTGAGTACTAATGATCTTTAGTTTATCTTTTTAACCACCCGCTGCAGAGTCTTCCTGTCCTGACCCGTGCACATCCCATGCCGACCAACATGATTTACCAAGATTTACCAGCAGTGTCCCATTATTGTTTGAAGTCAGGCCAATGATGGTGGTGTCATCTGCAAACTTCACCACAGTTGTCTCCATGTCAGTGGAAGGCAGTCATGAATGTACAGCGTGAACAGGAGAGGACTGAGCACACAACTGGGGCCTGTTTGTGAGGAAGTCCAATATCCAGTTACGGTGACACGGTCCAGTGTTGTACTCAGAGTGCTGACTTTACCGATCAGTTTCATGAGGGAAATTGTGTTGAACGCTGAGCTGAAATCAACAAACAGCGTTCTGATGTGTTGTTGTAGTGTTGTATTTCTAAAGGTGTATGAAGACTGAGTGGAGGGCAGTGGATATGGCATCCTCTGTAAATCTCCTGGTTTTGAATGCAGACTGGTGAGGGTCCAGGCCTATAGGGATGTTTTTCTTTATGTGCTGGAGAAACAGTTTCTCAAAACACTTTATCAGAATAGGGGTGCTTGCCAAAGGACGGTAGTCATTTAGACTAGATACTGCAGACTTTTTAGGTACAGTAACCATGAAACTGTTTGGTTTGTCCATTCTGGGCTAAAGTACAAACATGTGGGTTCAACATGGCGGACTCCATGGGTTTTCAGGTGATTATTACTAATGAGAACATACCTATGAATATTATATTCCATTAGATCCTCATAAATGTTACACACTGGAGCTTTACAACATGTCACAGTTTACCAATAACTGATTTCAGGGAACATTTGATAAAGATTCAGAATAGAAAGCACAGATGCAGTAAACATGATACAGTAGTGACCAATGTGGTGGAGTCCTTGACATCAGATGTAAAGAACATTTGCCCTTATAATGAATTGATTTTTCATTATTCTTTACAAACCATTCACAGTAAATTATTAAACTCACTGCATTTATACTTTTAATGTTATAAGATTGCCTATTTGTGACATGTGTTGCTTCTCTGACTCTACAGATTTAATGTTGAATCAATAAGGATTAATTCCTTTAATGGAAAATCACAAATAACAGTATAACTGTCTGTCCTTGCATGACTATAATGGAAATAGATGACATTCTCTGGGACAGTGTAGTCAACTGACTTTTTAGAGGCCTATTAAACACAGTATATACACAGTATACTATATTAGTATATTATTATGATACTGTAGATAATAGTCCAGTTACTCTAAAAAACTTGACACGGTGTAAATCCCTATAGGAATTCAATCAGACAACAGTGGACATAAAAAGTAGCTACTGTTGCATCTTGACAGATACGACTTGAATTTAATACCAACAGGTAACAACTAAGCCTGTATTTAGTCTAATGTGTTTCAGTTTCTCAGACACATAGACTCACTTATTGTTAGTGGCATGAGTTAGAGCCTAAATGACAGAATATCTCATCAGATTACATCTGGATTAATGATAACATTATTTTGAATGTTATTACCACCATAAAACTATTCTACTCTGCAAAAACATGTCTGTATATGGCTATAAAATAAAAGTCCTGGCAGAGATGAATTGAAAACACCTTGGGCCGATCCTTTAAATTAAACGTGCAGCCTTGTGAGAACACAGTCTCTTATAAACAACTGCTTTCTTTCCAGGGGACTGCCCTCATCCACTATGAAGTTGTCATTGTGGGTATAAAGGAGAAAACACAACATAGATATCCAACTGGTCCAGTGTTGGGGCTAGAGATGTTCCGATACCATTATTTTCTTTCCCAATACTGTTTCCGATACTTGCACTTTCTGTATTGGCCCATACTAAGTACTGATGTACTGTATTGCTGTATGGACTGTCTCTGGTTAAACCCTTTGTCAGAGTCAGAGAAGAACAGGTCATGACTTTGCTATCGTGGGGAAAAACTGGACACTGCTGGGAGGTAAGCAAGGTCCAGTTTTTGGAGGAATTTCTGATACTGGCATCTGTATCGGAACGACTCTAGTTGGGGCCCTAGATTGTTATGATTGTGCTTGTGTATGTGTTGTTGTTGTGTCATGATGTACAGTCATGTATCAGTTGTTGGGCAGATGAGGCCCAAGGCCAAATGCAGACCGGTGCCTCTCTCTCAACCACACTGACAACACCAAGACTCTATGCCCAGTGAGTTGGAAACTGCATTTCTCAAGTATAAATGAAGACTTGTTACTGTATTGATTGATGGTGCACTTCAGCAGCGAGGGGCTAAAATCGATGAGCGCCACATGGAGTCTGAAGACTGAGGGCTGAAGACTGATGCCTGTGATGCCTAACCTCCTGAACACCCCAGAGCTCACTCATAAATAAATGAAGGAGACAGTGCATTTCCTGAAAAACAGCTTGCTTTGTTCAATGAAGGGCCTCCGTACACCTTTTCACACCGAATCATATACAGAACAGAAAAATGCCCATTAAGATATTAGATATTCTTCCCTTCACAAACACACAATGAAGTCCTGTTTTTCATGGACCAGAAAATCCATTCATCAGAAATGAGTTAAAGAGGCACTTCATTGCAGCAATAACATTCAGTGTGAGTGTGTGTGTGTGTGTGTGTGTGTTTTTTCACACCCAACATAAAACTGTAAACAGTCTTGCACAAATTAATTTGGCTTGAGACTTATTGGGAGCCAGTAAGTATGAATTTCTCATCCGAGTGAGTCTGGGTGAAATTACTTGGACGACACTGCCTGTAATGTTGCATAAAGCTGAGGACAGCAGCCCTGGAAGTGAAGATCTACCTGAGGACACTGTTGATGACAAATTGATGATACTGTCCAAAGGAGTGGTTAAGTCTTTTGAGGGAATTCCTCAACATTAATTAGTTCCCTCAAACTTGCTGCTATAAAAGTCCAAGTAAGTTTTCCTGGCGAAAATTGCAACTTGGGAAGCCAGAAGATCTCACAAGTGTTGCACTTTCCTGAAAAAGCTTGACCTTCAGCAGTTGTGGCCATGGCTGGAGAAAAGAAGGGAGGTTCCACAACTGTCTAATGCTCTAAATGACGCTCTGAAAACCTTACATTAGATGTCAGAACATTTTAATATAAAATTTCAAATTTTTCATAACATTTTTGCCTGTTTATTTTTGTAAATAATATATTATAAAAAAGTCTACAAACAATATGATTTTAATATTTGCTCATATCTTACTGCCAAAGACCCAGGTAAGTAGGAATGTGAACTGATTTGATTTGGTTCTATTAGAGTTAATATTGGATTTTATGAGGATGTAACTGCTTTGCCAGCAGTTTGTTGACACTTGTGTGATTCTTTTCAGTGAGTGGGAGATTGTTGCTGTGAGAAATTTGATATCTCCAACTTGGAATTACAAGTCGGAGGCAGACATGAATGGCTTTTTCCCCCCACTTGGCTCGTAATTATGGTTTGAGTAATATGACATGAATGGGAGCATCAGCATGTATAGCATTGTGTGCTCACCCTCTTATTAGCTTAGTTGTGCTTATTTGCTAATTAGCAATAAACACCAAGTACTGCAGATGCTGATGGGTATGTCATTAGTTTTGCAAGTACTTGGTCAAAAGACAAATTCAATTTATATACTTCTATTTCATCCTCTGAGCACCCCAAATGCCTGTGCAAAAATGTCCCTCCAGTAACACCGACTGACATTGCCAGCCTTAGTGCTAGAGTGGCTGAAAACCACAGCCACTGTTTAACACAGGATTTCCCTTTGAGCTGGTGCATTGGAACATCATACCACCATTCAGTCGGGTGGATTTAATAAAGGCACGCTGACGTGTTGTGAGATATGAATGCCCCAGCAGAATTTGTTGATGGCCTTTGGTGATACAGATTCCCCAGTGCGGAAATATCACCCAGTTAACTTGCTCTATGTGACAAAACAGATGAGACAAACAGGAAATGGCTTTTCATCCGCTTGCCATGCTATCTCAATTACGATTTGATTTCATGTACATGTAGTAGAGTTTCCTGTGTGAATGTCGATGCCTCGATTTGAAGTGATTCTTTTTTAAGGAATCAATTTTCAGGGATTGAGATCACGCCGAGAGTCAAAGTGAGTGAGCATTGCTTGGGAAAGAGCTGAAACTGGCCAGAGAGAATATGGGAGCAGAGGCATGTGAGAAATGTCAAAATAATAGGTTATTATTTGCACTCAGACTCTGCTCTGCTCTCCATTTTTAATGTTAGTGCCCTGTGACTGGGGATGAAATGCATTGTGTGAGACTGCTGAATGTCAGGGCTGAGGGGGAAGAAGCAACACCTTAAAAATGGCTGCTGCCTCCAGACATGGCACAAATGGCTAAGACAGTGTCAAGGTGACCTGGCTTTGAAGGAATGGCTGTTCATCTCTGTGCACCAGGAGTGTGAGGATGTTACATGTGGCTCAAGGGCAGATGTTGTTTATGAGCAATATCTAATTAGAATAGCAGAGCATACAAAGCAATAAACTGTAAAGAACATTTTCTTCTTGTTCTGTGGGCACTAAAGGACATTGTAACATCATTTGAATCCCAAAGACAGCAGAACACTCTCTTTTTAAAGACAGTTTACTTACAAACATAAGGATATATTATAGCTGTATTTAATGGATTACACTGATACCAAACATGATTTAAAATATACAACTGATTATAAAGGTCACTGTAAATACAGTGGAACAGCAAGTGCACTTTAACTCCCTAAAGGGATATTGTAGGTATATTATAGATTTTTTTTCAGCAGAATTTGTTACAAGAAAGTAGAGAGAATGTGTATTTCAAAAGAAAGCAATCATATAAAAGCATTGCAGGTCATATCTGACAATCTGAGGGTTCAATCACTGCTGGATTCGGTGGGTTTGATTTAGAGCTTTGTCAACAATCGGAGATGTGTAAAGCTGTGGACCCCGCACCGGTAATCCAAGGGACAAACTACAAATACCAACCTTTAGTCTGGCAGCCAAGGACATCATGCATCATCAGAGTTTTTTCTGTTACTGTGGCGAATCGTGTTATTAAGTCCAAATCTTTGATGGAATGAGTTGTCTTTGATTTCCCAGAGGAGGCGGACAGCAAAGGCTGTGTGTTTTGCTCATCGCTGTTCACACTGACAGAAGTCAAGGGTCGAGTGACTACTGTTTGACTGGCATTCACAAACTGTAGCGGGAAGCTACAGTTGTCTGATTAGACCATCCTTCTCTCAGTCCTAATTATGTGGAGCAGGAACAGAAGCAAGAGGCTGAGAAGGGCCTGCATCATTAACTTTAATCAACCCTGGACACCCTGAAACAAAAACAACACACGCAAACGCACACATACACACACACAGGCAGCCTGACAGCGAGTCAATACCTGACATTCATCATTTTGGTCCAGCCAGGCTTTTTAATTACGGCAATGAATTCCCTACATGGCTCCAGTCACCAGTCACCTGCTATCTAAACAGGGTTTATTGTTGAGGTTTTGCTTTGTCTAGACACTGTTTAATGAATAGGCTGACTCTGCTCTCTCTTTGGTAAATATTGGGTGAAAGACATCTTTACAGCTACTACACTCTGGATTCTAAATGAGTACAAAATAAGGTCTCATAGTCATTTTCTGATGACGCACTTCTGATGTCATGGATTGCCTAAAACTCAAATCTTTCCAAAAACCATTAAGCCTTATTATCAGATATATTTCCCTGGTGTCTGAAAATGTGCAAGATGATTACAGACATGAAGCCCAGCCAAACTGCAGGCCCAATTCACAACACGCACTGTGTGAAACTCTATGTGAATATAGAATTCATTAGTATGGCTGTCACAGTCCCCCAAATGATGCAAACCAGCACTCTTTGGCGTGCCACACATGTATGACTGCATGAAAACAGCAATTTGCATATATTACTAGTCTTAGAAGCAGCTGTCCTGCCCACCATAAATACGTTATATTATACATGATGAGGATTTGAATGGCCGTCCTAAGAGGAGTAGAGGACACACAATCACAGCCCCAATTTCTGATTATCTTCATCTATTTGGTTATATGAAGATGCAGTCTAAGTTTTCCAAATGTTCCGTCGTTGACCTCTGTTTGTATTAGGGATGTTTTGAGAGTGTGAGATGTTTAAACAAAGTCTTATTAAATGGTGATTATGAGCCTATTTAATGTTAATCCTGCTGCCTTTGCTGGTGAGTGCAATATATTAGGATGTAGAATATAGGGTGGGTTTGTGGGATA